TATCTAAATTAAGATCATACTTTTCGGTTTCGCAAATAAGGCCACTATTTTTCAGATCATTGTCGATTTGAAATTGTTTGTATATTCAGACCGTTTTCGATCTGGTTGAAGTTATGACATGGTCAAAATTTCAACCATTATTCAGAAAAATTTTGGTCTGAAAATATATTATATTTAGACCGATATTCTGTCGGTCTAAATATAAAGTTATTCAGACTTGGTTTTTTCAAACCAACTATTCTGATTAATAACGGTCTGAATATTTATTTTCAAACTAATTTTTCATATTTTTAGACTAATTTTTCGATCTAAATTAGAGGTGTTTCTAGTATTATATTATTATTGGTGTAATTTACGCAATTTTTTCTCGAGTTCATGCATAAATCACTAAATCAATTGAAAGATGATTAGGCTTCCAATGCATTAAGTTCAATAATATAAACTCCTCATATGAATAACTTTAATTGAAAATATAAAAATCAAAAAATTTATATTAAATTGATTAGGTTATATCGCAACCCTAATAGAATAAATTAGTTCATAATAAAAATAATAAAATCTGATTTATAGTCATGAACATAAGAATATCTAAGGAAAAATAAAACCTAATTTGAGGTAATTGAAGTCTTTGATCTTCTATTGTTGATGGATCCTTTATTTTGCTCTCCAAAAAATGCCCAAAAGAGGGCTGCCACTAGCCTCCACCAAGCTCTCATAATTTTGAATTTGGATGGGTATTTGTAAGATCTTAGAAACCCTAGTTGGAATAGAAGTAGGACTTGAAGCAAAATAGGAAAGTTGAAATTTGGATGCTGAACGCACGATGTCGACACCCCGAATTACATGTCAATACAAAACTGGAAACAGAATGTGTAATTTTGGACGCTTAACACATGGTGTCAACACCTCAATTATGTGTCGACACTACACCCGCGTCGAGTTTCTAGTAAAGTAGTCAATACCGTACCGGTATGCGTATCGGTTTTGCTACTGGAACGGTACGTACCGGATACCAAAATTTTTCGTGTACCGTTTCGGATTTATCGCTATAAATATATATTTTTATAAATTAAATATCAAATTTTAAAATAAGATAAGAGATACTAATATTT